TATATTCTAATAATCCTATATCATTTCTGCTTTGTCGATAATACCATTTCAGATTTTGGGCTTGCTGAGTACATGCAGTGTATCTTCTTTTCCACCAACATTTTTCATAAACATTTTTACATACCATATCTCTAAGATAATTGATTTCATCATCTCTTTGCTGTCGAGCTTGTCTTTCATCCCTCCATGCTTGCTCCGTCATTTGTGCCCTTTGAAGACAATCATTTCTAAGGTTTGTCATATCATTCATAATCCTATTGCTCTGCTCATTAGATGCATTGAACAAACCTTGTAAGTTAGTATTGTCCTGAACATGTCTTTGCATATGCCCTCGGATAGTTGTTATTGAGATTCGTATTCCGTTCAGAGTATTTCTTGGGTCAAATGATGTATCGCCATTGATATATCCTTCAATCCGATCTAAAGCTGTTCCAATATTTTTTAAGATATCTGGTAGTGCCATTGGTGAACTATTTATTTGGGATAATTTTTTATCTGTAATCTCCCTAATTCGCTTCTTAAGCTGATCAATCTTGTCTTCTAGCCTTAAAATATGGATATCTTGAGCAGTGCTAGCATCATCTTTATGTCTTAAATCCTGCAATGCTTTGTGGAGACGCTGTTTAAGGGATTTTATCTCGGTCTTAAGAGAGTCTATCTCATCTTCGTGAGCTAATATTGTTGAATCCTGGTAAGATAAAGTCTTATAACAGTTTTCTAGCTCCCTAGAAAGCGATTTTAGCTTTTTATTCTTAAGTTTGCTTTCAGTTATTTCATCCTCCAATTCTTTACGCAACTCTTTATTAGTATTTAGGATTTCTATGTAAGCTGGATCAGACATGTTAATTCCTATTATTCAGATAGATTCGGGTGAAGCGCGAATTGTAGAGGTGACTTCAGCTTTACGCAAAATTTATTATCAGCCTATTGGCTATCAGCGAAATGTGAAAAAATTACATGAAGTTTCTAAAAAAGCTGGGTATGATTTTAGTTTAGACGAAGTGAGAGATTGGCTTGAAAGTCAAGCTATATATCAGATTCATAGACCACGGCCAAAGTATATTCCACGAGTAAGTTTTAGCTCTATTACTACCCCCAATGAAGTACATTAGGCAGATATTCTCTACATGCCTTATGATAAGATAGGTCGGATTACTTATCTTTTTTGCCTTAATGTAGTGGATGTGGCTTCGAGATATAAAGTTTCTATCCCTATTGGTGCATATAGTGTTAAGGATAGACAGGGGATCTTAACTTCAAAGACTATTGCTCGAGCTCTTGAGAAAATCTATAATGATCCTGAGTGTCCTTTGGTCTGGCCAAAAGTTTTTTTAACGGATAAGGGTCCAGAGTTTAGAGGTGATTGTGAGAAATTAATGAGAGAACATGGCGTGAAAATTCAGAAGGCCAAGTCTAAACGTACTATGGGTATTGTTGAAAGTTATAATAAAACTTTAAGGGAGAAATGTGGTCTTCCTCAAGATGCCTCTGATCAATTACTTCCTATTACTGAAAGATCTCGGGCTTGGGTAAAAAATCTCCAATTAATTGTTAAAGACATTAATAATTCTCTAACCCGAAAAATTGGTATGGCTCCTGCTATAGCAATAGAAAAAGAAAGTGTTATTTCTAAGCCTTCCAAACCGCGTGATGAATCTGTAGGCTTTGATGAACTACGATTAACTTATGATATCTTGGTAAGATATTTGCTTGAACCTGGTGAGTTAGAGGTTGGGGGAAGACGTGCTGGGGATTTGAATTGGTCTCCACAAGTTTATCATATTAAAAAATTACTAATACAAAAAAATCAGCCAGTTCTCTACTGGCTTATAGATAATGAGAACAATGGCCCAGAAAGATCTTTTGTGAGAGAGGAGCTTCAAGTCATAAAGGATGTGCAATTACCTCCTCAATGGATACTTAATAATTAGATTTTAAATATTAAGATAGATGATCATCTGTAAGTGACATGTTAAGAAGTTCTTGAATAATTCCTTTCGCATTATCTTTAGATATTTCACATTTTTCTTCCTGAGATATTTCATAATAAAGGCTATATAATTCTTCTAGTTTAGTACGCAATTCCCCCCGATACCATGCTTGAATCTTTTCTAATCTTGTATTATATGATTTTTCATCTGAAACTAGTTTTCTTGCAATATATCTAGCATATCTGTCAGGATTTTCTGCCAATCGCAATTTTTTTACATAGCTAAGATGATCTCTAACAAATTTACTACTCTCTTTAAAATTCTG